AAAAAAAAAAAAAAAAAAGAGATTTATTTATTTTAAACAATTTCTGTAATTATTTGAAATAATTTACAAAATATGAACAGTTTTTGTATAGTACTTCTACCTAGAAATTAAGCCTTCTACAATTAAAATAATACCTCAGTTTACAAATATTCAACTTCTTTAAAAGCGCAGTATCCTTCTACAAAAAATCTTTATTAGAAAATAAGTTAGTCTAAAACTTTAAACTCTTTTTAATCATTACGCAAAACAATAGTCTTGTTACAGTTTATTCATAATTATTGTATTTGTTGATCAAAATTGGTAATGCTTACTCGACACCTTGAATGCGGAAGAGTTAGAGAAATTCACATATAAATTCTATTTTGTGATGAACGGGAAGTAAACTGTCGCGTAATCGCTAAATTCTTAAGTGTTTAAAGCCTGCAGCATTTCAGTTCCCTTTTTTTCTTCAACTGCTTTCCGAAATGTTTCAAACTTTTTCGGTTTCTGAAATCACAACAACAATCTTTTTGTTTATTTGCTTTTACCAGATTTTATTAAATTCTTCAACCGTCTCTCTATTCCTACTGCTAATTTTACAACCAATTTTCCACAATTAAGCGATAAAAATAGCTTATTAGATTAAATAAAGTTGCAACAGTTATCTGCAGTAGCTTTAGTGAAATTACAAAGTTTAGCAAATTTACTCAGATTACGCTAATTAACATTAAATAAAAACACTATTTAATATAAGTCGTCATTTTTTGGCTATAACGGCAATATTGTCGTAAGCTTCACATTTTTATCTTTCATTTTTTTTTCTGTTTTTGCTGCCGTTTCTTTGATACTCTAATTAAAAAATTTTTTTTTTGATTATTGTAATAAACGATATATAATTACAAAAGAACAAATCTAGTTTAATAATTTTTTCAACTTTTCCCAACTGCATTTTGCATTTCATCTTCTATATCATAAACTACTTCGTTCAGTCTGTTTCTTAGTGATAATGGAAAACACATAATGTGAGTTGTTGGTGGTGTTGTCACTGAGTTGCATTTGATCTATTAAATAATTAGCCTCAGTTCACTTCAGAATTGTGCCACGCTTACGTAGTACCTTTGATAAAATTTTTATATGGATAAAGCTTTCAGCTGTATTATACTTTTTGTAAGAAAATTTGGAGCTTTTTGGTCGTCCTTGTCTTTGCTTTTTTATATATGTTTCTATGCCGTTGAAGAGAGTATGTTTTAAAACAAAGTGACTCGAATAATCCTACTTTATCAAGTAAAAGAAATGTTTTTTTCTACTATTTTGGTATTCAATAACAAGTGATCTCAGTCCAATAATTTTATTAAGTTATTTCAACAGTAATCGTTTCCAGAAGTGATATGGATAGTTCAGTAGTTTTAAACGCTATTAAACTAGTTTCTTAACAAATAGCGTTTGATGTAATGGAGGTATTATAATACGACAAAAGATATCACTGTTGATTATACAGCATTCTTTCATTACAACTGTTAAACTTCGCTGTATATATCAAGTTACCGTAATTTGTAAATATATCAATTCTGGTTTACCTTTTTAAAAAAGAAGAACGAATTAGTTCACGGAAAAGAATAATTGTGAAAAAAATTGGCGATTTATATTTGTACGTAGCTGCTGAGTTTAGAATTTTAGCAAGAAATTTTGTATACAGAAAGTTGTCTCGCTTTATATTTTTGTACAAATAACTTTTACAAGCACTTTTCTGAGCTTTATATAATGTATACTCCTGAATTAGACCTTCTCTCTTTTTCTTTAGTATTTTTGCCTTTGCTCTGATATTTCAAATTAGTCTGTCAGGCAGTTCTAGATGTTTAAAATTAGCAAGCAGAATAATTTTTAATTTTTACCAGACTCAATTAATTAACTGATTGGCTTTATTTGGTATTGTACTTTATAACAGAAAGTTGAAATGGAAATGATAATCTATATACAGTTAATTTAGTTAAATTTGTGCGATACGCAAAACACCTGGAGCCCTTGTCGATTGACGGCTCCATATACATTATTGAGGAAGGGCCTCAAAAGACGCCCTTCCTCCTGGCAAGCGGCATCTGGAGCGACGTCGCTGTCGTCGCGGTTTTAAGCAGCCAGAGACACATGTCAACCGTGTCAACCTCGGCTAAGGACCAAGAAGTCACCTTATAATGTCGAAAAAATAGGCTGCGCAGCTACTATAGACGGGTTTGACCTTTTGTAAAAACATCAATGAGGAGAGGTTGCTGAGGAGTGTAGAACAGTTTGTGGAGCCGCACTTAAATTGTGTGGTGTGAGGTGCAGTGGTAGGTGATGTAGTACCTTGAAAAAAGATTAATGGTTTGTTTCCGTCGGAGATAAAGAAGAGACTTTTGCGTGTAGCTGAGCATTTACACTGAAGTTACATTTATACTCGTATTTCGCTTCTCTCTCAGATCGCAATACCTAAAAGGAAAGCTGGATTAGGGCCCCTTATACGAGGAACTTTCCAAAAATTAGACTGTCATAAGGCAGATCGATCAGGAGCCAATAAAAAGCCCTCACTTTCAAACGGAACTTGGGGGCGGTGGATAATTTTTCGCTACTTGGGACCAGAGGTAGTACAGCGCATTCTCACCATACATTTATTTCCATATGAATTCGTTCATATACAAATTCAGTAGTGCCCTATCCGTCCCATACCGTGACTTACGACCTTCCTTGAATTTCTGCCATAGAGGCTTAATGCTGCTTGTGTAAGCACCGGTTTCAGAATCAG